CTTTCAGTTTTATTTTTAATGTTATTCCTTATAAATCATTCCAAAAATAGAGTTTCTATTTGACAAGTGTATAACTTAATTATTTGTATAAAAGATTCATTCCTAATAAAATATTATTAAATTACAAATCATATATCTTCTTTCTACAAAAGTTGTTTATCAAATTTTAAGTTTCTTGTAGTTGGCTTCATCACATTGTCAAAATTGTTTATCCACTAGACAATAAAGCTGGTTAAACAGGAAATTTGAAAGAGATGTTGCCAGTTGTKGTACATGTAAATTTGTTTTTTACCACAAAAAAAAAAATAATTTCTTACAATTAGATGGGTCTTAGATTAAACAATCCAAGGAAATAATAGCAGTCTTGTGACCATGGTATATACAATATTTACCACGGCAGCGGACCAACTGGAAATCGAAAAAATTCACAATTTTTTTAGAAAATAAAATGTTTCTCTCTTATATAACTAAATTCATTTTTTGTAAGCACGTACTCTGATGAATATCAGAAAATATTCCTACTTCTAACCTAATCAATTTTAAAACTAGAGTGTAAAAAAGCATGTAGTGTCACTGACTAGAATTTAAAATAGAAAAAAAATTGATTAGAGGGATTTTTATAAACTCTTATATTAAATTACATTTTAGCAAGCTTATATACACCTTTATCTACAATTTAGATCTTTCTCTACAAAAGACTGTTCTTGTTTATAACAAGGGTTTTCAAAAATCACTCTAAATCTGAAAATAGTTTTCAAGTCGCCAAACACACTGGAAAATCTCAGTCTTTCACATACTTATGAAAATATTTTGGAAAATTGTATATTTTTTACAAACAATTTTTTCACATTTACAAAAAATCTACATTGAGTACGAGGAAGAATTTACAAATGATTTACAAAGTCTTTTGAATTTACATAGTATGTAAAATTACCTTGGTCCTGTAAAATCAATTTTACAGTCTGTTTACAAACAATTTACACATGATTTACACAGTATGTAAAAGTCTGAGGCTTTCCAGTGACAAGTTTTCATTACGAAACTACTTGACACAGAAAAGTGATTACACTTCACTGAAATTGGCGTAATCATTGAAGGAATCAAGATATGTTTGGACCATCTTATAGCAAAACTTGTACTGCTCCTGAAACGGGAAAAAAAGGGCAAATTAAGCATCAGCTCCAGTATTCGCAACCAACATTCACAGCAAGGTTTGCTGAACCACATCTTGTACCCACAAACTAAATCATAGAAAAGCAAAACAAAACTGGGAAAGGAAATGAAGTTCTTTGCCTCTGCCTTAATCAAAAATTTATTCAGACTATTGCTATAGACCAATCCCGCATTCGTTTGGATGAATACGGAACAATGGCTTCATTTCGAGGCTGGAGTTTTATCTTTTGTCGAAAACTCCAGCCTCGAAATGAAGTGATTGTTTCGTGTTCATCCAAGTGAATGCGGGATTGGTCTATTGACACGCGCGCAGGTATAAAATTTAACTTGCGCGCGGTTCTAGGATTTACGAGCTGC